CAGGATTTGGGCCAAGGTATTTGTGAATGGATACAATCTTTTCATTGAAGTAGTACATGAGTGAGTTACAAAACTCTGTAGAAACCATGTGAGGAGGTAAAGCGTTAGGGGATGAAACTGTACGGTTAAGGAGAAACAACAGTGTCTGTGAGATGCCAACATTGGAACTGATGATGTCGGAGAAGTAGTTGGATTTTGCTTGGGAAATGCTGTCCTTGAACTGGATGCAGTGGTTTTTGTAGAGTTCCTTGTGAATAGTGAGACCCGACCTCTTGTAGGGTTGCTCTAACCTTCGACCTTCAGATTTTAGGGAACAAAGTTCTGGGGTGAACCAGGGTGCAGAACTGGAGAAGGAAACAGACCGGGTTTTCAGAGGAGCAACAGAGTTAAGGATGTTGGTGAGGCTGTTGTTGTAGAATGTGACAAGGTGTCTGGGTTAGAATAATTGAAGGTAAAAAGGGTATTATCAATGTGAGATAAAAGAATGTCATGGTTGGTATTTTTAATATTATGGAAGGAAAGAGTGTGTTGAGGTTTGTTAGAAGAGAAATGAAGATCGACAGTGAAAGAAAGCAGCAGATGATCAGTAAAAGGAAGTTCATCAGAGGAGCAGTCAAGAGCAGAGAGTCCAGAGCAGCACACTAAATCCAGAGTGTGACCCTTTATGTGGGTTGGGAAGTTGATGAACTGTTGGAAACCACAGGTTTCAAGGCAGGATGCAAAGTCTCTGGTGAGAGGGTTGTTGTCTTCATCCATGTCAATGTTGAAGTCTCCGAGTAAAATAATATTTGGCGAAAGAGCTGAGAGGTGGGCGAGAAGAGCAGCAAAGTCCTTTATAAAGGAGTTGTTTTGTTTAGGAGGGCGGTAAATAGTAGCAACAATGGTGGGGGTGGGGCCGGATAGTAGGCATACAGTCTGCTCATAGGAGGGGGAAGGAGGTGTGTGGACYGGTGTGATCTTCCAGTTCTCGCGTTGAATTGTCGCGAGACCTCCTCCGCGGCCAGAGTTATGGGATTTGGCGATGTAAACAAACCCTGGTGGGGTTGATTCATTCAGATGAAAAAAGTCCTTCTGCTGTTACCACGTTTCTGTTAGACAAAGAAAATCTAGCTTACAGTCAGTAATTAGACCTTAAATAAGCTGACCTTTGTCTGTGAGAGAGCGAATGTTCAGAAGCCCAAACGTCACAGTGGAGGAGTGGGTAGCGGCTGGGGGATTAGCCAACCGAGCTAGGCTAGCTGACACGCTTTTGTTAGCGACCYGAGCATTGCAACGTCGAATGGCGAGAGTCAGACCAGATGGAGTTTATGGGAGCATTCCATTCAGAGTTGAGTCTACGGCAGGAGCCACGGTGAATGTATCTCCAACCAGGGTGGAAGGCAATGTCCTGAAGGGGAAGTAGAGGTGGCATGACCGGTATGAAACGAAGGTGAAGGAGATCGGCCGCTGAGTAGTGGAGAAGTCCAGATGCCGGGTGGTGGAGGATAATTACCTGGAGAGTCCAATCCAGAGCAGGCAACTCCTGATAGTCCACATGGTTGATTCTAGCTGCGTTTCCAGTGACAATGAAAATGTGCAAATTAGAATTTCGAAAATAAATTTAGTCAATGGAAACACATCAATTTCGAAAATAATTACGTTTTTCGACAAAATGTTTTTGCGCTAGGATGAGGTGGTTTTTCAGCCGTATTGAAATTGGTGTTTTTTGCAAAACTGCAATGGAAACACTTTTTTTCACATCACAGGAGTCACGTGATCAACAACCGGCTGTTTCTACTGGTGAAAAAGACGATGATGAAGAAGATAACAGGAAGTAGAAGTAGTAGTAATATCACAGAAGTAGTATAAATTGGTAAACTCAACGGCTAAAATTTCCCAAAAACACAGCACACGTAGCCGCTCCCAAGTAGGGACTTGTCTCTGGAAAGCCTCGATAAAAGACGCCGACGTCTCCTCTGATGATGAGCGCTAGTGTCGTGGTAGCAACATGCTATGTGTTTATATCCATCGCTGCCATGTTTGTAATGACTTATCATGAGAACAAATGTAAATAGCATTTCTTACTTAATGGAAACACCAAATTGTGAAACTGTGTTTTTTCAACATTAACAGAATATCAACAAAGTTTTGTGCACATTTGCAATGGAAACACAGCTAGTGAGATGAAGCAGACAGTGTGTAAAAACCACGATAAAGATCCGTGAAAAAAGGCAGAAAAGGAAGAAAAAACCCAAAAAGGACGAAAAGCACGATGAGCAGCAGCAGCCAGGATGTGCCAGCGTTTGCTTGCCGGAGACTGTTTTACAGTTTTAGTGTTTTTTTGGAGACCTCTGAACTTGATAAACTATAGTGACACCTGAAAAATGTCCAAATATTCCTGGAGTTGATAAGCAATATAAAGGCAAATAAAGTTTATTCTCGTTGATGGTTTTCCCTCAGCGCCTCTATAGACAAGGCTGAGAAAGTGTCAGCGCTGCAGCTCATGTGTGAAAATAGCTGTTGTGAGTGTGAAAGAGAAATTTGATTAGAGACTTCTTAGCCTCAGAGCTTAACAAATCCAGGTAATTTAGCATGAGGGACTCAGAGATGAGAAGCCATCCCTCCTTTCCAAACAGCCTTTTTCATCTTGGCTGCAGCTTTCGGCCGACTCATAAACAAAAGAATCTGTTTTTCTCACAGGTACCTGAATGAACATTAGCTTATTTTGCTCCCATTAAAAAACTGCAGCCATTGTCTGAATAGCACATCCTCTTGTTTACAAGAGTGATTTTGTTTCCTCTTAACAACGACCAGAGTATTGATTCAGGCAGCAAAGCTGTCAAAACTCAACCCAATTTTATGTTGTATTGAAACAAAGTGTGCCTGGAAGAGGGCCCTCTGAGAGCCCAGCATTATCTCCCACACCCTGCAGCCGTGTACTCCCATCTGTGTGCTTTAGCTGGCTTTATCACACCAGGGAACACTATTGTTTGCACGATAAGCCCCGGAGCAGGGACATTTTACAGTCCGGCCTCAGTGAGTGACATTTTAACAAGAAGTCATAAACATGTCACAGAAGAGAGGGAGGAAGACAAAATGCCAGGGTCCTAGACTCCGCCCACAAAGGAGAGCAAACAACCCCCGCGGCGGTCCCGATCACACATAATCACATCAACGCTGCTCATCATGCACACACACACACACACACGCTCACATGCATGCACATGGTCATCTTCAAAGCCATGTATTATCTGTGCATTACCAAAAATAAATAAATAAATAAAAACCACATTAACATAAACCTGCAACAAGGCCAGTGTA